CCCCCCCCTTCATTCACTTTCCAGCCGTATTATTTTGTCTCGCTTGTTTTGACAAAGAACGTTAACCAAGTTAGCAACCGTTGCTAATGCTTATCGAGATTATCGTTTACTTTGGTGTTAGCCTCACCTGCTAGCGGTTACTGGTTAGCTCCTCCTGGTTAGCTCCAGCAATGCTAAGGCTGACGCTTTGCTCCATTTAAGTGGGTTAAGAAGTTATTTAGGAAACAACAGTCGTAAATAGCGACCTGACAAACCTCTCCCTCGAGGACGGGTGACGTTAGGTTAACGCTGGTTTAAGTAAGGTTGCCTTTGAGCAGTTAAGTTAAGTTGTTTGGATAAGTTAGCAGAGGGTTTAAAGACATTGTTTGAATGACATATTCACTAGCCTATGATAAATTCAAAAACAAGTGTTTCTTCGTGAACGTTTATATGTGACAGTGTATGATGTTTGAGCATAAGAAGTTATCCCAGCGTTATCACTTTCACTCCAACAGGTACACGTAGCTAAAAGTATTGCACACAGCAGCCCTTTAAATAAGACTTAATTAAAATGTTCAGTTTTTGAGATGATTCAACAAGGACAGTTTTTTTGTGGAGCTGAATTTTATTTTTTCCTTCCCCTTTAGAGTTATATCAGTAATGGTAGACCACATACTAGAAATGCTATATTATGTAAGAAGGATAGATAATATACATCACATTATAATGTATCTGCATCGAAAACAACGGCCTCCAAAGTTGTATCAAAATCTCTCTGAGTTTGATCTAAAACTGAAAACTGTAACGTTATTGAAAGCAGTATTTCAAGGACTTTTTATCTTGTGCTGGTCACGTACTTGCAACATGAATAGAATACAATAATAATAATAATAATAATAAGTAAGACTAAAATAAATGAAACAACTGTTAAAAACTAGTAAAAGAAAGACTTAACATGATGATAATATGTATATAGGCCCACAGGTAAAATAATACACGAAACATGATCGAGAACAATATGTACAGATGTGGATTGCACATGAAAAGGCACTATATTACAGACAGTAATAAGAGCTTATTTCACCCTATGTTGAAGTACACTGCATCAGTTCTAACTCCATGTACTAAACACATTGCAAACTGAGTGTATATTGTTGCCAACAGGTGGAGAGCTTATATGTGAGAGGAAATCAGAGGAGGATCACAGTAATAGAATATCCTACAATCCCTCATCAACATGGGGGCCATCATCTCACGGTGGAGGGTTTGTTTTCAAATCTTTTACTGATTACGCCTTTCTGCTTCATGTTTCTGTTATACAAATTACATAATTGCACATCAGTTAGCAATATTTTTTCTTGTTAAAGATCCTGTTTAGTTTTAAACTTGTTTCATATTTAATAAGCTTTCAGGTTGCAGGCAGATGTAGGATTCTCCCAAATAGGGTTTCTACTACACCATACCTCAGGTCCACAAAGTGGTTACATGCAGATCTGCATTCATTATAACTATAGATGTTTAAGCTAACGCTCCTCCAGACACTACCACTTCTTGGTGTATTGGCATGCACAGGATAACTTCATATTATTGCCAACAAAAATAAACACATGACACAAAATATGCAGAAATGAAAAGACGAAATAGGAAGTTTCCACATGTTTTGAAGAAGTAGAATGTACAAAGAACTCTATTATTATGGCAAGTTTCATAATTTCTCTCTGATCTGGATTTCATAATTGTTCTCTTACAGGCTAAACCATCCACTGTGGAGATTTTGGAGGGAATCGAAAAGGTATGCTTGCCAAAAAAATACTGCTTTTCTTTATAAAATGTGTGTGTGGATTGGTTAACATGGTATACATTTACCAAAGCACAACAAAGCCATTCTCTAGCTCAATATTTTGTCTCTTTATTGTATCATGAGCTAGGTCACTTCATAGTTAAATAACAGAAAATATATTGATATAGCAGGTTTTGTGGTAATTCTAACTAGTCTATTTGAAATAACCACATGGTAAAGACAATCTTAGTTTGCAATAAATACATTGAAAGTACTGAGTGTTTTGAGTAATGAGTATTTTTTTATTAAGAAATAAGAAGTTCAGTGTGATATAAGAAATTATTGAGAAAAAAAAACATTTCCAGCTTTACACTTAATATTTGTATGTATGCTCACACAGTTTTATCAGATTAAGAGAATAATTTGACTTGACTGTAGTCAAGTGTTGATTAATCTTTTTGTAAAGTGTGATTTCAAAACACCAAGAACATGGCCTGAGATCGGATGAGTTCCTGCACGCAGAAGGGGCTGTCACTCAAATGAATATGCATCTACCGTACTTAAAGATAAACCACAGCTCCCAATAACTTCTTTTTTTTGCAGCTGTAACCATTAGCTTTATTAGGTATGATAACGTTGTGCGCACCAAATTTACAGGGCCATTGTAAGAAAAACAGGTTTTCAAGCCCAGTGCAATACTACGCAATATTTTATATTTAGCCACCCACTTTTTTAACTCTGGACCCTCCCCAGGGGTCACGCCCCCTATTTTGGGAACCACTTGGTCTGTCTGTAAACGGCTCTCAATAAAAATGTGGGTCATATTTTCATTGTTCACTTCAGTTTCCTCTGGCAAACAAATTGGAACACTTTTGGGTTGGTTTACAAGCTGTCAATTGGCCGTTGTTTAGTTACCACTTCAGCCACTTTTTATATGGAAACAATGCTAAGTAAAAACATGTTGTGTAAGCATGCATCTCTTGACCATAAGCAAAAAGATGTGTCAACAAATGCCAGATCAGCTCCTCATTTGCTGACTGATGGGGCTTTAGTGCTCTTCTACAGTTAAGCTAGTGTTAGGATATTTTTAGCAACTGCCCTTGAAGCAAGAGACACTACATATACACAGAAGAGGTCAGGTGGCATTGACGTTGTGGAGAGACAGTTTTTGGTTTGGTTTTGAGTTATCCTCTGGAAACACCCTGTCACCTATTATGAAAGAAAATGTTGGCTTTAATAATTTTTTAATGTGCATGTTAGCACAGCATAAAAACAAATGCATGCACAATAGACTGTATAGCTGAACACAAGAGCTGTTTATCCAGTACTGAGAGTGACAGGCACACATGTTATAGAAAAACGATAGAGACCCATTCTGTCTGCCGGCTTTTTATAGAAGGGCTGAACAGCGCTTTAGCTCAGTGGTGTAACCTTCACATGTTAAACAATTTGTTAAAGCAGTTGAGTACTTAAATATATATTTGTCTATTCTGCCAGAAGAGAAGTTTGATCATGATTCGACCAAATTCTTTGTTAGGTAGGCTCCTGTTGTCATTTCCAGGTTTATGTTATACTTTACTGATATGTTCCAAGTCCTGCATTGGTGTTCATCGTCTAAAGTTCAACAGCTATTCCTGATAGAAATGGCCTACATTTGCATCTATGTAAAGACATGATGCACATTCTCTATGTTCAAGTGCCGTTAAGGAAGTGGTCTTAAATACTGGATTTGCTACAAGCTCCAAATATACACTCTCTTTAAATATCTAGGGCCCAGCTTTACTGGAAATGCCTGCAGCGAAAATGAACATTAATATAATGCTCTTGATCTGAGTGCAGAAGCAGAATATTTTACCAAGAGGTTCTTACTATACAATGTTTTGTCTCATTATGTATTCAGGATATTAAAATAAAGAAAACATTTTTTTTGCCTACCATAAGAAGTTGGAACTTTGCTGTTAGTTTGCGTAGTCTCATTGGTTGGCCATTGGACATTCCTTCTTTTTGAGAGTTTCTGCTTTAGTCATGCTTGCCTTTTATAGCCATTTGTTCTCAAAAAGGTTGAAATTATGGTTAGGGGATACACTATTAAGAATATTTATATAATTTGATATCACAACTTGCAAAACACAAGATAATTGAATTGATGGTTAAAGCTACAAACTGTTCACTGTTATTTATTACATGATATTGAGCTCTAAATGTGTGTAAAACAATGCGTACTTATATAATGCTCATTTACCTTTCCCCCCACAGGATGTACAGACCCTTGAAGAATACAGTGAGAAGTATCAGAGGCAGCTGAAGATATGGGTCGGACGGCTGATTCTGTACTCGTCTCTCCTCTATCTGATCACATGTGTAGTTGTGTATTTCTGGTACCTGCCCGAACAGACGATGGGACGGTTCATACTGTCTCTTCCCTTCCTACTAGTTCCTTTATTGTAAGTGTGCAACATTGTCAATCTCATCTATACTAAACTGTTACTCCAATATAACCAATCACCATTGCCTTTCTCTCTTTCCTTCAGAGTTTGGTTACTTAGAAAGTTGCTTATAATAATTTTTTCACGAAGAACTGAAAAAAATAGTAAGATCCTTTTTTGCGATTTACACATTTCTGAACACATAAGGGTTATATTTTTTTATGTTGAAACTATAATAACTATAATCCAATAAAATTGTTTTTTCCCCCGTTTTTACAGATGAGAAGGTAGAAGATCTTAAAACACAAAAAAGGAAAATAGTAAGTGATTTGTTTTTGTATTTTTACATATTCGTCTAGTTTCACATGGATTGTTTTGATATGTGATTTCCTGTGTTCTTTACTCAAAAGTCATGAAGAAGACTTGTACAGTTCTTGCTGCTAACAAACCAAAAGCTTTGTGCACAGGGACAGACTTGCCCCAAGAAACAAACAACTTACATTTTTCATTGCCGGTTACATTGTAATCACATTCATGTATTGTGAAGATCAAGCAAATACAATTAAAACACTTTTTGTTGCCATTATGTAAATACCACATTCATTGATTTTTTTTGTTTGTATATCCTCATTTACCAGTTTCTCCCATTTTGAGCCTACTGGCATCACACCTGGTCATCTATCTGCCCAAAATAATAGAACTAAAACACATTTTTTAAAACGTAGGTATGAGTTTTAATGAGTCCATGTGTAGAACCAACAATAGATTGCGGGGTAGTTGATGCTTGACGTCTTTAGAAACCCAAAATATTACCAGAGATAACCAAATGCCAAAACACTGAGTGTCAGTTTAAGATAATGGGGGCCTGTCAGTGTTGTTAAGAAACATGTTTTATCCTCTTGTTTTTTTATTCTTTATAGTTTGGACTCAGAATATCACTCGGTGTAGCAGCAGTAGTTATAAGGCCATTATAAAAATTGCACCGCTAGCATTTTGCAGATATCTTCTCCAATGTCCCTGAAATTACCCCTGCGAGCTCGAGAGATCTGCAAAGTGACGTTTCAGAAAACAATTGTCATGCATTTGTGGCATCGGATAAGTGCAGGAAACGTATTATAAAGCTCATAATCTCCACAGAACACATTGTAACTTTGATGTGGTCTCCAGTGGAGTGAAGACTTGCACTTCATTGTGTAAGTTACGCAGGAAGCCTTGTAGTATTGCTCTTTTTGATCCCCTCAGCATTTTGCAGTAAGATACTTGCTAATCTAGGATCTGCACAGACAGCATCTGATCGGCACAGTGCATTAACCCAGTAAACCACTCTGCTAATGTCACTTTAATTAATAGCATTTAGTTCAGGAAAGAAAGAAATCTGAGAAATTGCTTGTCATCCTCTGTCAAGTCTAATAACTTTCAATAATTAGGGCTGATGGATTTTCACACTCTCCATTATCGAAGTAGTGAATGTAATTATTCTTCATATTATATGTAAACATTTAGAAATGTTGGTACTTAAATAAAGATGTACAGTTTAGAGAAGTTCCCCGTGCCCTTCTCAGCCATGTTTATTTGTAATGTTATGGTAGGTGATTCTAAGATATTAATGTGTGTTCATTTAACACCTATTAATTACATTAGGGGATCATCAAATAATTACGTGGCAATAGCTATTATAGGAATAATTTCTTTGTGCAATGCATTGGAAAAATGATGTTGGCATTAATCCTATAATACCTTTTTAATGTATTTTTTTCAGCTTGAAGAAGTTATGGAAACTGAGACGTATAAGAATGCTAAAATGATTCTGGAGAGATTTGATCCTGATTCCAAGAGAAAAATTGTAAGTTATTCATTTTACTTACTGTAATTAAAATCGCATTGTCTATTTATTTTCCATATTCAACCATTTGCACTCCCTTGTTTTTTGTGTATAGGAGCTTGAATCCACTCCTGTGGGCCCTCAGATGACTCCGAAACAAGGACAAGGTAGCGATGAGCTTCGAATCCATCACTATTTTCTCCCCTTGTCCTTTGGCCTTTCTCACTATTGTTAAGCAAAATGTGATCTTATCTGTTTTAGAGCTTCGCCAGCGCAATGTCATGCCAAAGACCCCCTCAGTGATGGTGAATCCTGCAAGCGGTGCTGCTGCGCGCCCTCCTCTTGCCTCTGGGCCCACCTTTCCTGGACGATCTTCCCACTCTGCTCCAGGTGGACCCCCAGAGAGGGGCCTGTCGGCGATAGCTGCTCAGCAGAGCTTGATGAGGAGGCCTGTGACCCCGGGAACACCTGTTCCAGGAGTCGGTGAGTTACCTGCACACAGGGGGACCACACCATAATGTGGTCGATTAAGGTGTGATTTACTCTTCCTTGGCTCTGTGTCCCCAGTTGCTCAAGATTCTGTGGTGTGTGTTGTCAGCAAGAATGGTATACAGTATCTTATACAGTAGTTGGAATATGTAATTACCTTAATGTAGTCTTCAAATATCTAACTAAAACGGTTCTCAGACAAGTGTTACATTTCGAGCTCGTTTCAGAAATATGCCGTACCCTCTGATACACTCAGAATATTTATCTGGAGAGTATAATGCATGCATCTTTGGTTGCTTTTAGAAATGTTGAAAGCTTGCCAGGGAACACTATAAACAACCTTTCAAAGAACAGTTGCTAGACATCTGTGGAGTGCAGAGTTATTGCATATTCTATATAAATTATTTATGGGCTATGAACACTCAATAGAAGATGCAAATAAGTACCGGTAAAGGAAATGTGTTCCTAGAGGAAGCTGCATGCTGTAATTGCCATGTGGAATGCTAACTGCGAGGTATGCACGAATCACGATTACATTAACTATGATTAATTAGCCAGACCGGCATTTGTTCTCTGGGCAATGGTGGTGGAATCTCACTAAATGTCTTTTAATGCTTGGTGAAATTGCCTTTGGCATTGGGAACAACCTCGCAAATGGTTTACATGACTTGATGTTATCACCTGCTTCTGCCGAAAATTGAAAGTGAAAAGCAATTTGATACAAAGAGTCACCACAGAGTTTCCATATGTTGGTAAATTAATAACCAGCAGGATATTGAGACTCTGCCAAGTCTCACAGAAATGACCAGTCATCTTCCTATGATTGCTCTTGATGTTAGATTATATTAATTACTACTCACCAACACAGCAGGGATTCTGGACGTGCTTTGCAAGTGAGATCCGCTGTTAATTCATTAAGAAAAGCGGGCAGGTTTTTTTTTGTAATATCCATCATGGTTTGTGCAGTAAACTGTAAATCTCAGCCTCACTCTTTCACTTAGTTTACTGTGAGCACAACCTGTTTAATGCAGTTTGTATTCAAGACTACGGACTGTGTCTAACAGGCATTGCGCTTTAACAGGGATGCACCCCCCAGGCCCGCCCCTGGCCAGACCCGTGGTCCCGAGGGACAGAGGCGCCATGGACAGAGTCATTGAGTATCTTGTTGGAGATGGCCCTCAGAACAGGTACACAATCTTCTCCAAGCAATACAAATATATACAGTTTAGGGCAAGTATAGTAAATGTATTAAGCTGTTTGTTTCCCAACTTATAAAATCGCAGTGCTGAATTATCTTTCCATGTTATTATGATGCCAGTCTCTACGTACTTAATTCTGTCTTAACTGGATTGTGTTTCCTTCCTCATAGATACGCTCTCATCTGTCAGCAGTGTCTGTCCCATAACGGCATGGCATTAAAAGAGGAATTTGAATACGTTGGTAAGACTTACAGAAACACAACGCTCTTTGTCAGTCTCCATCAAACACCGTGCCTTCATTTGCCCTCTAGCATTTGGCAGCGTAGTATATCATATAGCTCTTAAATGCCTCTGCCACTACCGACCCCTGTAAGCAGAAATGCAACAAGATTGAATATGCAAACCAGTGCTACACATCAATCTGAAGTGTTTATGCATCTCAGGCATTTTCTGTCATTGCTTCACATTCATGTATATTAATCTATGTCTGTTTTGAGAATGCATTGGGCCAGTGACATAAACTATATGAACAGTGTTTTTATTTGTGTTGTTTCAGCCTTCCGATGTGCGTATTGTTATTTCTTGAACCCTGCGAGGAAGACCAGACCTCAGGCCCCCAGACTCCCCGAGGTCACAAGCGACCTGAAGATGTCCTCCGAGGCCCCCGTACCTCCGGCTGCTGTTGTCATGGATGGAGACCAATCTGTTTCAGGTGATAATGACACACAAGGCATATACCTCTTAAGTGTAATGGTCATGCATGCAATTGAATGTTACTTTTTGAGTACATTATGTTGTACAGCACTGTCCACTTTCTTCTATTTGTTTAAAAGATGTGCAAATCTTAACAAAAAAAAAAATTTCTATTAGGTGAATCAAAGCTTGAGGATGTCTCTGCTGAAACGGACCCCCAGGGGCCAGACACTACAACAAGCACGGAGCCCGGCTCTTCGTCAGACGGCCAGAGCACCGAAAGCACCACAGACTCACAAGATGTGCCCTGTGAGAAATCTGACGCAGAGCAAGATGTGTCCTGTGAGAAATCTGACGCAGAGCAAGATGTGCCCTGTGAGAAATCTGACGCAGAGCAAGATGTGTCCTGTGAGAAATCTGACGCAGAGCAAGATGTGCCCTGTGAGAAATCTGACGCAGAGCAAGATGTGTCCTGTGAGAAATCTGACGCAGAGCAAGATGCGTCCGCCATGGAAGTGGAATAAAACCGTGGCGCAGTGATTTCAAGTCAGGCTGGAACTTTATTTGTTATTTGAAGGGATGAGATAACCGATAGTTTATAAGTAAATGCCGTGAGTTGAAATAACAGTGATTTTCAACTTACTGTACAGAATATCCTTTCTTTTGAGAATTGCTTTTATATTTCTAGAAATAGAAAATATTAAATATGAATTTAATATTTTGTAGCAACATCAAACATACCTCCAGTATGATTACACGTCCATCACATTATAACCTATTTTTGCTACATATATCTATTTTTTCCATGTTTTTTCCCCCAATTTTTTTGAATTAATTTCTTACAGCAGTCGATCGCATTTAAGTGGAATCAAAACAAATATTTTGTGGGGCAAACTTGAATACAAGGGATATTATTTATAACTATTTTTCTATAATGCTGTGCCTTCCATGACACTGTAGGTTGGGGAACTCTGCAGCACCGAAAGTGCTAACCACATGTTTACATAACCATGCTACCATAATAGGAATGCACACATACAGTATGTATTTATTGCTCAAATGGAGAAAAAGGGCATTTTTCTCGGTACTGTGCACCTGCCCTAAGTGCCTTTTTTATATTTGAAGTCTCTGCTTCAGAGTGGTGTCGATGAAACCTATTTACATATAGACAATAGACACATTCAACTGTTTACAGACTGTATCTCTTTGCCGTTTGTCTGAATTCTTGTCCTGTATAAATAATAATGATAAATAAACTTTTGAGAACATCTGTGTATGTATGCTTTGTATTACAACACATCCATCCACATAGATGCATTGTTTTTATAAAAGTACATGCCTACTGATATTACATTTTCTTTAAATAATTTATGCATTTAAAAGTGATTATTCACGAACATCAAAATATAAAAAGGAGAGGTCAAACTAATGCAATGGCTCCAATGCATTCCTGCTACCTTCAGGGTGTCATGTTTTTTATAATGCCGCCCTATTTCTTCTCTGGCCAGCTTCTCATCGAGGGGCATGTTTAAACAGTCCGTTTTCATTAGCAGGCCAATTTTAGCTTGTGATCATTTTATTTTAGCTCATTGATCATTTCAGACAGCGCAAGATAATGGCGCTGACACAGAGCCCGACCAGTCTTGATTGCTTGACCCTCTTCATTTGCAACAAGAAAGTCATTGCAACTACAAAGTTGCTCACCGGCGTCACATGAACCTTTTCCCCTGAAGATAGACCGTAAACTCTGGGTGAGGTCAACAGCCCACGTCTTCTATGGGTTCTGATAATGTATGTTTACAGAGATGTGACCTCCTGGGCCTTGTAATGCATCACTGTGACATGACAGTAACGCCTGATTCCACCGCATGCTGTTTGAGGTTGACCTCTGACAAGAGACAAACGGGGAAAAAATGGGACATCAATAGGACAATGTTTGGATTTGTTCACACCATTGGTAGGTTGCCCAATACATAGCCTGCACATATGTGCATGATCATAAGTCATATATCACAAAAGATATCTGCGCGGTGTGGTTTGAAAATGTATGTTTGAGTCATATTGTTGATTCCACAGCACTGAATCATTTCTTGACATATTGCACCTTCACAGTCAGTACAATTATTATTTGTCTGCAGTTTTCAACTAAGTGTGACAACATTCAGTTTTTAATTTGCCTTTTTTAAATCTATTTAATGCATGAAGAATTTCAAAGAGGGATAGGAGATCATCTGGCTGTTCTCGGCTGTAGTTCAATTTATCTGCCTTTTTAAGTACTATAATTTTTATTGGCCAACAGAAGGCCTATTTAGACAATCAATATTTGGAATGACCTTCCAACTCTCCGGTCAGGTTGTTTATTCTGTAGTCATTTTCTGCACCTAATTGTCATCTCAACCTACAATTCAGAGGAATACTGTTTACATAATGTGAAAATAAAAGATACACCCAGGGGTTTGTGTCCAAACACTCACAGGATTACATCTGGATTGCTATCATGGAGACACTAATTGATTTTCAAGGATGACAAATGGCATACAAAGCCCCAGTGCCAGGGTAATTTTGAGCAAGCGATGAAAATGTACAGTCGGGCTGTCCCAAGGTTCATAGTTCTTTTCATACTCATCTCTCACATGTGCATTCGAGGCCACTTGACTCAAATTTATACTGATCTTTTATTTATACCCAGAAAAAATAGCAGATAAGAAACATAAGTGTTCTTGATATTGTGTTTTGTCATATCTAGCAGCCAAAGATTGAAATCCTGCGAAACAATTTTCTGTAGAAATGAAAGAGCGTGCCCTTCTGAACCCTGGAGGAAAATAACCCCACGGTGCGAAGCAGAATATGAAACAGAGGCACAGAATAAGTAAAATAGACAAGTGCACCAGGCTTGTCACTTTTCCATTTGCTGCCCCCGAGTGTGAGCACTTCAGAATTCTCCTCATCTCGGCGAAGACCTTCATCGTTATGCTCTATCTACTGTACTGAATGAGAGAAAAGTGAGACAAAAGCAATAAAGAAGGGACTTTTAAACATTTACCATGTTTCTGTCCATCAGGAAGTAGAATGCAACAGGAAGAACAACAAAGTCATAAATATACAGCGAAAGCCATTGTGCATTGGAGGCGAAGTGGAAAATGCTGAGATGAGTGTCATAGAAGCAGTTTAACACGGTTGTGATATCAGACATCACGGTTGGCTCTTGACAACAGCATCATTACACAGTAATAAGAGCACAATCTCCTTCAGAGAAGCATTAAAATCAAATTAGATTATACAAGAGCTTGGCTTGATGAGCTGCGAGGGGAGGATCTCTGGTTATTACTGTAGCTCTTTAGCTGCTCGGGCTTGAATTGCCACTTGACAAAGTTGAGCCGCTTTTCACAAAAGGTCATCAGCTTCCAAGAAATTAGTTTTTGAAATTCAAGTCATTTGAAACCTACACACACCCAGATGGATGGCTTTCTATTCCCCCCCCCCC